GAAATTTTTTTAAATTTAATTAGGAAGGAATGGGATGATATTGAAAACATCGCAATAGTTAACTGCATTAATAGTATTTCAAGTCGCATTAAATGTAGAGTTATAAGTTTAGTCCCAAGTCTTATTCAGAACACTATCTAAGGTCAACTTGTAGGTATTACGCTTTTTAATAAGAATAAATAATACAAATAAAGAAAAATCAGATAAATAATGAAAAATATATTATTCAATACATTATCTAAACGTTCATGACAATTGCCGCAGTGTGAGGTCATTTGAGGCGCAGCACGATTTGCGACTAACACCGGTTCGTTTCCTTTCCAGTATTCATTTAAAGAATAATCGACATAGAAAATGGGAGAATTTCCATTTTTGCTTATTTGCCAAGGCTGGTATAAAGATTTCAAAATTTTTTTTTGAAAATTACAATCACGCGCTTAATGTCGCACAATCTTATAACCTTTTTTTCATTACCATATTTATTTATCTTATAACTCATTATTTAGGAACGCAATTTGCAAAGTTCGTCATTTTAACTATCCGATACTCAAATAACCTTTCCTTTTTTTCATTATTATACATAAATAGTTTTTGAATGCTAAAAATATCAATAACACCATTAATAAATTTGAAATGGCATATATTTATTTGTCAAAATGTTTTGGACAAAAGACAAGGGTAAATTGTAGGGAAAGATAAACAAACATACAGTAAGTATCATATATTTTGCTTAATCTAATAAAACGCTTCGAACACATTTGCTATTTCTATTATTAGTTATTCAATACATAAATTAATACCATCTTTTAAAAATTGCGTCCTTGAGATTAAAACTTAAAATATACGCAATGTTTTTGATAGAATCGTTCCGCGATTATCGAACAACTGAACCAATTTGGTTTAGATATTTACGAAGTTTATTTGCTATTGTTCTCACAACGATACTTATTGTTTATTCAATAAATAAATTACATAATTTTAACGTACCGACAAACCCTATTACTTTTACTTATTCTCAGCTTGACGGTAAGAAAATAAAATATACATCGTTATAAATTGAAATTAACATTCACATTTTTTTGTCTTGAACAGAAAATAATGGTTTTACTATAAACATATGTACTGGAATTTCGAATGAAATCCAATTAAGAACTACCGATCCTACTAAAGTCTTACTCTCCGCTCCGTTCAATCTTACTACTGACACTAAATGTCAACCTTTTAATATAAATAATTATACATGTGATCAAAAATTTATTTTTAGTATCATTACCACTCCTTCTAACAACAATGATAATAATAATAATACGAAACAAGATTCAAAATATCCTAGTTTTATTCCTAATAACAAGTTATTTATATATTTTGAATCCATCAAATTACAATTTAAAGACCCAAAATCTTTATTTAAAACGTATTTAAATCATTTATTAGATTTAAAAGAAGACGTATACACTAAAGATAGATTAGAACCAACCTATTTTTCATTTGACCTAGGACAAATTTATTTAATAACTTTTAAGCCAATGATTAAATTTAATAGTTATGGCACTCCTTATATATTAGAATTAATGCCACGGGTAAGTCAAATGCCTATAAGTTTAAAACCCAATGAACTTACAGTTGGATTTATCTTTCCTTCAAATATTCTCAAATTTGAAGAATTGAAGTACAAATGTTAGTATAAAAATACTATTATTTAGGCAGTTGCTATTAAATGCACGCACGTTATAGATAATATGATTTTTAATAGCAAACGTCACATCTATAGACCTAATTTAATAATATATTTTGTTCGATTTAGTTACCGATTTAATATCTGATTTTGGAGGTTTCTATGGTGCTATAGCAGGCAAGTTTATCAAAAAAAAAAAATAATAATAATGACATCTTTTTAACCATAAAATCAACATAATTCATAGGAATCTTTTATTTATTATTTGGAATGCAAAAACTTGAACCGTGGTAAGCAATATATTTTAATCACAAAATCAACTTATAACATTATATTGATCATTTTTTTCTTTTTACGTTAAGGGGTTTGATACAAAAATATTTGCTTACTTATATTCCTTTTAGACAAAGTTTTACAAGAAAATTCGCAGAAAGATATGTTACATATGTCGGCCTTCCACTTGTTGAGAAAATTAAATTTAAAGGTGATTTACTACCAGCTGATCCAGAACCACCAGTGGAAAATAATTCTCCTTTTCCTACAACTTCTGGGAGTGAAATTCTGACACCGTTGAAAGATGAAGTTCAAATTTTAGAGAAATTAGAATATTTAAAAGATAGAGTTCAAATGTTAGAAATTTTTTTAAAGGATTATTATTTAGATGATTATTTATTAAAAAAGGTTAGATTTGCTAAACGTAAATACGATGAAAAGATAGATGATGAAAAAAGGGAAGAAGATATGTTGTCATGGGTTTAAAAAACGAACGAGTTTAGATTAAATTATTTATTTTATTTTCTATTTTTTTTTATTTTTTATATATTAAAATCACGTTAAAGATACTATGTTCGTAAACTCATTTTAATTAGTACAATTAATAATACAAATAATAATAATACGTTACTTTATTTATTCAAGTTTCTTTTAAACTACGTAATTAAACTTAACGAAGTAAAAATATTCATCTATCAAAGTTATACGAGCCATTATAAAATAATCACTTTTGGATCGTTACTTCCCGTTTTTGACGTTCTTTGTTTTTGATCGTTTATCAACCATTCTTTAAGAAAATTGGGTAACGTTTTAATGAATTCACAATAACGAACAATACCGTAATATATTCCTGAATGAGATTCATCATTATCAACAATATTTAATTTTGAATACTCATATTCATCCTTCAATTCAGGATCAAATTCGACTAATAAAATTAATTTTGCAAATTAATAAATAATAATTGAAGTTCAAAAATACAATCAAAGTTTTATCATTAACTTACGATAATATTTAAGTCCTTTGCCGCTTTTATCAATTTTACCAAAATTTAAATGACATAATCTTGTATAATAAAATAATAAACATGATAATGCTATAGTTACTCCTAGTATTCCTATAAGAAATAAATAATTTAATAATCGTTAATTACAATGAACTTTTAATTTTAAACCGGTATATTTTATAATAGCTTACCGAATAAAAATCTAAATTTTATTGCCCACATACTTGTGTAACACATTTGGAAAATAAGACCACTAAGAGAACCATAAATGCAAGACACTCTCTTTGATTCTACCCTAATCTAAATTTAAATGATAAAAAAAAAAAAATTAATTAATTGCAAATGATATATAATAATTTCACGATGTACATTTATGTTAACATACTAACAAATTTCGAACCGTATGTTGAGATTAAAAATGGTATAAAAATGGATACCGCAAAACATAAAAATTCAACAATATTCAAACCCAAATCTAAGAGACTAGTCAGGTAAGTAAAATAAATACATTGATGTGTGACAATTAAATGAAATAAAATGTAAAATAAGAAATTATAAATTTTGTAACATTTGTAAGGTCCTATAATAAATAATAATTTTTAATAATTTTTCGAATTAAGCAAAGATGATTTTTTAATAACTAAAGTTTACGTTGTAGTTCTCTTGGTATTGAAATTTTAGTAACATCCCAGTATCTAAATTCGTAATACACGATTTCTTAATATCATATCGTTTAAATGTGAAATAAATTAGTCTCGTTTTTAACTCACCTCCTTGTCCGTAGATAAATCAACAACATAATAAATATAATGTTAAAAAATAGGATTACAGTACTAGCAAAAAAGTTAGGTTTAACAAATGTTTTCATATATTCCTCTTTAAACTCGGTAGAATTTCCATATTTTTTAAGAAAATTATCGACAATATTGCTTTTTTTTACTTTTTGAGATTTTTTTTTTAAAAAAAAAATAAATAAATAAATAAATAAAAATAAAATGTAAATTAAAATTAATGACTTATATTTTTAATTTTATTACTTAATATATATTCTGTAAACCAGAAACCTTCAGTTATAAACAAGAAAAAAAAGTTAATAAAAATTAAATGAATAAGAAAAAGAAAATTAGTGATAAAATAAAAATATAAAAAGTTATTACCTGCTTCTTTATTGGTTTTTCCTGTAACTAAATTTTGATAAAATTCTAACAACGGTGAATAGCTTAAAATATCTTCAATGGCAAAGTTAATTAAAACCATGATTGGTATGAAATGGATTACACAAAAGGCTAATAAATAGATTAATTTTTTCTCGACAATCTATTTTGAAATAAAAATCGTTAAAGTATCTATCTTTTAATATTACATTTATATTAAATTTGTAAAATGATTACTTACAGTATATATTCCCGATACAAAAATTATGCAAAATAATACAAGCAAATAAACTGTATTCGTTGGTAATATACATACGCCAACAATGCCAAATATAATTTCAACAAAAAATATTCCTAAAAATATCGAATTTACAAGAACTTTCATTCGTTTGTTTTCCAAATCTTCAGAATCCATTTTATCTCAACTGAAAAGCATAAAAAAAACGATGTGGTATATAAATGAAATAAGTAGAACAAAATTTCATACCGATTTTTAAAATATTCAAATTGGGGGTAACAAAATAATTTTCATATAAAGTTGGAATTTTCGGGTGTGATTCGAAGGTCAGTAACAAAATTGGAAATCCACGCTATCGGAATTCCAAAATTAGCATTAATATTAAATATTAATTTTTCTAAATTATATTATATATAATAAATTATTAGCTAATAAATATAAATTAGTTAATTGTATGTTAATATCGGTCGAAGGCCGATAGTCCTGTTCAATAACAATAATATTATCCGTATTAGAATTAGTGCGTGTGCCAATATAAATAATTATCCGGTATCCCGTGATTTTTTATAATTAACAATGACTATAATAAATCGTTTATCAGGCAAGAAATCGGTTATCA